GGGGGGGGGGTCACCAATCATTGTTACGATTTTTTCGAATTGATAGAATGACTTGTAAACGCTCAGGAAGAATGAACTTAGGTAGACCAGAATGAAGTTTGTGGGTACACGACCCACCCCAACACCCCTCTAACGCCGGCCCTGCTCATTGTGTAGCTATGTACTTAACAAGAAACAAACATTATAAAATTAGGGGCGGCGTTGCACTAAATTCAACAAGAAAAACAGCAAATAATGCATAATAGTTCATTTTCATCTTTTATGTAAATTTATTCCGGTATTTGAATTATGTCTTATTTCATTAAATGATTTTAGTATCTATCGCTAGTATGCTGCTTCATTGGTATTTGGCTGGCTGTTAAAAATTAGGAGCGTGCTGTTAATAGTGTTGCAGGCAATGTTTTTTTTTAATTTGATGTTTGTATTGTTTTTTGACCAGACGGAGTTTATACGTTACTTGACGATCGGAAATGCGAGATTAGAGAAGACTAGAAGCGATTGTTGATTGATTAACGAGTCTGTTACAGTGTTTGATTGGTTATTTTGTCAGCAGGTTTGTTAGTCGGCTTGTCTCCTTCGATTTTGTGATAATTAAGCTTGTGTTTCAATAAAGTAAAAGAGATAAGAGAAGTATCGTAAATACAAGAAAATTAGTAGGTAAGTAGCTGTTTTGTGAAGTTAGGCTTACGGTTAATTCGAGAACCCTCGCAAATTTAGAATTTGTAGTAGATAAAAAAAACGCTTTGAACAGACTAGACTTTACATTACTTTCTACCAAATAATCCAAAAGAATCGGCCAAACAATATAACGTTTACAACAGTGAATTACAAATGAAACTCTAAAACCCTCAGGCAAAAACAACAACAAAGAAACAAACGAGAAAAAAAAACATTTTACTTGTCCAACTGATTTATTTTGTTTGGAAGTTCTACGGTTCTACCCGAGGTTTTCCACTGTGATTGTAAGACGTTTGAATAAACATGTCATTAAATTTACAGGAAAAGCTAAATAAATGTCTTAAAACACTAACATATGTAATATATTTTAAAATGTATATATTTACTGCATGGTGTCACTGATCATGAAAAATTTACTACTGAAAAGATTTTATGAAATTTCACAAACTACTTAACGATAGCATGATATTTCATTCTTGTCTTGATGTGATTGCATACATAAATTAACTTTCGTTAACATCTTTCATAAGAAGTTATGTTAAAGCCTTGTTTTATAGCATTTATTTAAAATGCAATTAACTGCTCCTGTTTAAGCTAAGAAGTTAAATAGTGTAGTTAAATTAGTTTGAGCTAAAAGGTAAGACTGTCGAATTAATTTACTTTGAGCTAAAAGGTAAGATTGTAGAATTAATTTACTTTGAGCTAAAAGGTAAGACTGTCGAATTAATTTACTTTGAGCAAAAGGTACGGTGACAGATTTAATTTACTTTGAGCTAAAAGGTAAGATAGTAAAGTTAGTTTACTTTGAGCTAAAAGGTAAGATAGTAAAGTTAGTTTACTTTGAGCTAAAAGGTAAGGTGATAAAGTTAACTTAGTTTGAGCTAAAAGGGAAGGTGGTAATATTAATTTACTTTGAGCTAAAAGGTAAGGTGGTAATATTAATTTTCTTTGAGCTAAAAGGTAAGGTGGTAAAGTTAATTTACTTTGAGCTAAAAGGTAAGGTGGTAAAATTAACTGAGTTTGAGCTAAAAGGTAAGGTGGTAAAGTTAACTTAGTTTGAGCTAAAAGGTAAGGTGGTAATGTTAATTTACTTTGAGCTAAAAGGTAAGATGATAAAGTTAATTTACTTTGGTAAAAAGGTTCGGCCAGTTAAAGTGTTACAGAAATTTCAATCATTATTTTACTTACCTTTGCCGTCAAAAAGGTAAGCCACGTGAACTTCACGGGAAGGAACGTGGAATGGATATCCTGTTAAATAATGGTTAACAAATTCCGAAACGTTCGAAACGTCTTTCAACTTGATAAGCAAGGTTTCGGGAATCTAAATTAAAAAAAAAAAAAGAGATGAAACCAAATATTTTATGTCTTGTGAAGACCAGTTCGTGAATGGTCATTAAATTTGGACATTCTTTGAAAACAATAATTTATGTTCTAATGAGTCGATGATTTATTGAAACTAAAAAGACTATACGTCCTCTTTCAGAGCACTGCCATGGGCAGATACACGTCCCTCGTTCTAGAGCACTGTTATGGACATGGTTGCATATATATGTCTCCCCCTTCAAACGTGCCAAAATTTATTAGTTTCAACTTTCAAATAAGTAATGAAATATGAAAACTTGTATCATTTTGTCTTCATTGTGTATACATAAATAAACCTGGCAATCTGAGAGATATTTATCTATTTAAACATGTCAGTGAGGAGTTTACTTCAATTCTCAATGTATCCATGGTATTGCTCTAAGAAGGAACGTGTCTGTGTGTCCATGGCAGTGCATCCTTCTAGAACGCTGCCATGGGTAAACATAACTTCATTCAGTAAATAAATAAAACAGCTTGTCTAATGGAGCACGTCTCGCATAACGAAGTATTTCACCTAAACATGTACATGTAGCGATATCGTGATCGTAAGCATGTATTACATGGCGCGTGTGTGTGTGCAATGAAGAAACGAGAACTTACATAGTAAATCATTCTTCCATTCATATTATTGTAGACCAATAACAAGGCGCACATAAATAGACGTCACGTGATGACGTCAATGCTGGACAACTTCCTTGGAATTGTTTGGCATAGATACGGATGTTTGATTGATCGTGTCTTGAGTGTGTGTATATCTGCACTTTGTACAGAGATCTTTTATTGAAATTAATGATTAATTAGATATCTTACCAATAGAATACAGAGCGCTCCGAGTATATTATAGTATCTACTATATTCTGTAGAAATATCTAATTATAAGGGTCATTGTGTGACATCTGAAAAAAATACATTTTTAATTTACAATATAGAAAACACAACTTATCAAAGAATAAAATCTCGCATTTATAAATTTATATTCATTGTTGGCGCATATATATACACGATAGAGGTAATTCTTAATATTGAAATAACGCAATGCATACATAATACCAAACGCTTGAAAATACATATTCTTTCAGAATAAAACTAACATCCAGGAAACAGAAATGTTATGATTACTACTACACGTATTTCCGCAGGGCCCTCGATAGTGTTCTGTTTCAATAGTAAATAAAACCAAAATTAAAAGCAACAAATGTTTTATTTCATGCTTTTGAAGTTCATATGCCATGCTGTGATGTAGCCTAGAGAGTGCATAATTCTTCTCGTGATTCATGGCATGCGCACGTTTTACTGACGTCACGACAGTACAACTTGCAACGTTAAGCGTCAATTATGTGACGTAATTTTAGCGTCTACTGACTGACAGACAACACACTACTGTATCGTGGCACGAGTGGTTCAAACAGGTAACTCCTCCAGGCGGCCTTCGACCCCCCCTTTCGGGAAAATTAGCAAGAAATGAGTTGTATGCCCTAGAGGTCTATCGATTTCCCTGACATGAGATTATTCAAAATAAAACTTATTATATTTACCCTGGTGTATTAGTACATATCAAAATTCTGCAGCGTTACGTTTGGTTTCTAATATGTGCAGCAACGTTCAGAGGACATTAAAAGGACAGGTGCTTATTAATAAACAAAAAAAGAGGCACTTTTTAAAGCATCGTAAAGCAAGACGTTTTTTTGAGGTGGAGGATGTAGGGAGCGATTATAGAGACTGCGGGTCATCTCTGGTACATATAGTGTATAAAGCCACCACTAGAAGGAAGTCCTCTTATAGTCAATAAATCTTATAAACACTTTTAAAATCTAAAACTAAACGGGAAATGAACATTCAGCATCACATCATAATTCCTTTACTGTAAAGTTTGTTTGTTTGTAATTGAGCACAAAGCTACACAATGGGCTATCTGTGCTCTGCCCACCATGGGTAGCGTTATAAATCCGCAGACATACCGCTGTGCCACTAGGGCTACTGTAAAGACCTACAAGTCCCCGTGTTCTATTCATTTTAAAATTATATTTTGCTGACGCTGTTGTTTTTTCTAATAGCTCGCAGCAAGCAAGGGGTGGAACGAAGCGTTTTTTTAAGTAGTTAAGTCTGAGGAAAAAAAAAGGGCACTTTGGGGGCATAATAGCAGAAAGGTTTTAGCCCCAATAATCATCATTCCCCTATGCACGTTACTGGATACGTGCAAATTTATATATAAAAGTATCGTTCTAATGTAAAATTTCGCAGATAAAGATGACCAATCATATGAGAAGATAATAACGCCCCCCCCCCCAAAAAAAAAACGCGTAATTAATGCATTTATCTGAAAGTGGCGAACAGATTATTTAGTTTAGGCTACTTACTTTTGCTGTAGTAATGTTTACACGACCCCCTAACTTAAAGCATATTTTGTATTATTAGGGGTAAATAACGCAAACATTGCTTCCGATCGTATGCACTGTGTATCAGGTTTTGCGGTTAGTTCTGGTTTTTAAAAGTTTGCACGTGACAATGTCTGATAGGTCGGCTGAACACAAGAGTTCGATAAAATTTACATACGAGGATTTTAATTGCACAGAATAGTGTAAGTACATGTATTATTTTACAAAGGTACCTGTACATAAACAATTGACGTTTATCATACATAAATATGGTAAGCCGCCTTGACATTTTTACGGTGTAGTCGCCGAGCTACAGCTTTGTCAAACAAATAGTTCAGTGTTTTCACCAGAGTGAACCAGATGTTCCAAACCGGTTAGTGGAGCGAAAACCTCCGTGTGTTAAGACCGAGGGTACGCAGAAGCTTTTCCGGGGGGGGGGGGGGGTTGTTACGTGAAACATTTAGCAGAAGAAAGATCCAACTTTCGAAAGTGCTTGGGTTGTAGGGCTATCGTATTTTTGTGTTAAATTGACTTCTTGAACCTACGCGTTTTACTAACATCATGAAAAAACAAAACAGAAAAAAAAAAACGCATGAATTTTCCTTGTTAAACTAGAAGGCGCTCGGTAATTAGTAGTTATTTACCCTACTTTACAGTCTACCCAATGTATATGGTAACGTTACATGTGTATGACATAAACTGTACCAGGCATATAGATAACTAGCTGGAGGCCGGAGTTATGTAAATTCATGATTAATGAAAGGTTATCTTATGACTTGAAAGGTTACTTCCCTTATATGTAATTGTAAAAAACGCCCCATAAAAACTGCAAAACACAGAATGTGAAACCGCAAATTTGTATGTATCTTCCCATGGACCCAACAAACATAACCCTAACCACCTGGCCATGCCGGACCTTCATGGTTGGAAAAAAAAAAAAACTTGAAAATAAGAAATGGATTTCTTAAACAAAGTTAATTTCCATATACTCTATTTAGTTTTACAAATTCCTATGTTGGTACAATACTATTGTAGCCATAATCTTATCACACACACACTTGTGCGCTGATCAAGTTGTGGTGGGCTCGACGAACGGTTTCAATAGAAGTGAAAGAACCTTTCCGGCCAGTGGAGACAAGCCTTGAAACTATTACTCACAGTCAAACAGCATGGCCAAGTGATTAGAGGGCGCTCGACTCTCAATCTGCGGGTTCGAATCTCCGTCACACGAAACATGCTCGCCCTTTCAGCCGTGGGGGCGTTATTATGTGACGGTCAATCCCACTATTCGTCGGTAAAAAGAGTAGCCCAAGAGTTGGCGGTGGGTGGTGATGACTAGCTGCCTTACACTGCTAAATTAGGGACGGCTAGCGCAGATATCCCTCGTGTAGCTTTGCGCGAAATTCAAAACGAAACAAACAAACAGCTGTTAAAATAATTTCCTGTAAATCCAAAGATAATCAGGAAATCAATAAGCCCAGAGTGGGGCGAAGAGAAATCTAAATTTCTGACCACCCCTGGTTTTAATCCTACCTCGATAATGAATAGACAGATTTGGAGATTTACTAAAATATAGCCCCCCCCCCCCAGTGGCACAGCGGTATGTCTGCGGACTTACAACGCTAGAATCCGGGTTTCGATACCCGTGGTGGGCAGAGCAGAGATAGCCCATTGTGTAACTTTGTGCTTAATTACAAACAAACAAACAAATTAAAATATAACTTGATAAAACTTGCCCTAACAACCTTATCCAGCAGTACATACTCTTATTTTGTAACAGTCGGACCATTTGACTCGTTAAATTACGTTCAATGCCCACATCGAACATTTAAAAGTGATGTACATTCTTGTCCTATTTGTTGTTATTGACAAGTTTTTTTCTAGCGAAAACGATGAATTTCACACATTGTTCGAGTTGCCCTACTTTTGAAAGCTATCGAACCATTTTTCTATTCAGAAATTGACACACTTAATACCAGGGTTATCAGTGTTTGAGCCTTGGACGTCATCCTTTATACCACAACACCGCCAAACAGTAATAATATAGTTTGTTTTTATAAAGCAACATATTTCTGAACAAAATGACGCATTGTTACACTTTTTATCAACGTTACTTTAGTCAAAATGATGTACTCGTTAAGTTTAATGTCACATTTAACGGTATTTCTATATGTGAGAGACAGTTTTAAGTCCCCCAGCGGCTCAACGCGAAACTTCAGGACTTAAAAACTTTAATTGGGAGATCGATCCCCGCGCTAGGCGCAGCACAGGTAACCCTCTTTTGTATCTATGCATTAAAAATAGAGAAATGTAATGGGTTTGTTTGTTTGTAATTAAGCACAAAGCTACAAAATGGGCTATCTGTGCTCTGCCCACAACGGGTATCGAAACCCGGATTATAGCGTTGTAAGTCCGCATACATACCGCTGTGCCACTGGGGGGGGGGGGCAATGTAATGGGACATCACGGATATGAATAAATTTCACAAGTTCTTAAATCAAATATAAAAGAAATCTAAACCTATAAATACAAGCTAATGAAAGTACATGTGTTCTAGTGCAAAGTTATATTGGGCTATCTGTCG